TCATTAATTTGCTTGGACGACCATAACAAAGCACCACAGACTGGGTGCCTTAGACAATAGAAATGTATCCATTGAAATCTAAGATCAAGGCATTGCCAGGGTTGGTTTTTTTCTGGTGTCTCTCTCCTTGGCTTGTAGATGGCCATCTTTCTTGTGTGTGTCTGTACCCTAATCTATTATTTCGACTGCAGACGTATAGGATTAGGGCCAACTAGAGACTTCTAATTACCCTTTAAAGGTCCTATCTGCAGTCACATTATAAGGTCCTGGGGCTTAAGACTTCAACATGTGAATTTGGGGCCACAGGTCTACAGAAGCTTGGAAAACCAGTGCCTTGTGGGAAGAGATCATTAGTACAAGAGAGCTCTGGAAACCTGCTAGGGCCAGAGTAAGACCCTGCTATGTGCAGTAGATGCATAGAACTGCAGCTCATGAGGGCAGGAGTTGCTGGGATTGCTGAGTTCCCAGGTCATCCAGCATATGTCAGGCTGCCAAAAAGGACAGTCCCCAACTTGGACGCTTTGAAACTAGAGCCTAGACCCACATCCTTTGTAAACTCTTTCCACGATGAGAGCATTTCAGCGCTGGCAGGGATAAGTCAGTGCTTCGAAAGGACAGAGCAACTTGAGGCATGGGCTTTGAAAAGGTGCCCTACAATCAGCACGTTGGGGGCATCTAACCTCTCCTCTTGCTTCAGTCTCTGGGAGTCTGAGTCCACCTGGTGAGAGTGCCTGATCTTTGTAGATAAGATGGCGGTGAGGTGGCAGGGTGGTGATAATGCAAATAATATCACCACTTCCTTCTTCTTTGGAAAGAAAGCTGGAATTTCTCAATTGCAAGACACCAGTTTCTGAAAGATCAGGTTTATTTTGTCTGAAGGACTCCCTCGTGATTTGTCTAGTTTCTTTTGTCTCAGTAATGTCTGCCTTTTCCTACCTTTGATATCAGAATTCTTATTTCTGCAGGGTATCTTTCAGGGCAACTTGTTCTTTATTAGATAATGAGCTAAATGTTGAAGTCCTGTTTTTCTGCAAATGTTATAGCAGCTGTGGAAAGAGGTGCCTGGGAGGGAGGGCTGCTCAGGGTCAGAGGCATGCAAGTCTGGAGGCCTCTGGCTTCTCTGCAAATACTTCAGGATCCTTTTAGGAGAGGTCAATGAGATCTGGAGCACACCCCAACAACCAGCCTGACCATTGTTTTTTATGATATTCTTGACATCACAAACACATTTCTCTTTTATTTCCATGCTAATGAGGATAATTTCCCTATGGAGAAATCAGGAAGGAAGCTAGACAATGCATAGAAGGCAAATGTCAACCACTATTACCCCAAACACATGCATTCAGCCTGCATTATTTTTGCAATTCAGTTTTAGGAAGTCTATTCTCCAGAGATCATTTTCATCTAACAAAGAATAAATATTTCTTTCCACACAGGAGTTAAAAAGAGTCAGCCAGAAATTCAAGGGGTTGGGAAAGCAGACTTGCACCCCCATCTGTAGAGGCAGGCTGGGGAGATCCTGTGTCCTGACTGGCTGTTTCTACATAGCTGCCTTCTGGTAACAAAAAGCTTTCAAAGCACTCTGGACAACTACATCCTGCCTAAAAACCCATTTGGATTCTTTTCTGGATGATTGCTTCTTGGTAATAATTAGTATTAGGAGCAATATAATGTAATTACATTACAAAGCTGGTGTAAAAGTTTCCACTTTAAATTATATGTGTGGATACAGATAGATCCAGGCTGGGATCGCCCAGTCCAAACTCACACCAGGGTAAAGGTCCTTCCAGCCTCCAAGGGGTGGCCAGCCTCTCTCCGCTTACTCACTCCGAGTGTCAGGGAACCCATTCCTGCCCAGGCATCCTGTCCCAGGCTGGGAAAGTGCAATAGTTAAAGCACTCCTTCCTTTGTCCTTCCCTTTTTCATTTCTGGTCCTGGTTTATTCTCTGTGGAGTTACACAGAATTAGTCAATTCCCTCTTCTTCAAACATCTGAATAAAACTCTCCCCCCTTTCTCGATCTCTTTGTGCTACACAGCTCTTTTCTCTCAAGTGTTTTCCACAGGACACTTCTTTGTCATCTTGATTTTCTCTCTCGAGAAAGTTAGTACTTTGTATATGAGATGCACACTTCTTCTATCCATGAGCCAGAACTCAGTGGCCAAGTCCCACGAACAGGTAGGTGTTGTGGATGGATGGGTGAGGGTGAAATCCATGGCAGAGCATTTGCTTCCAGATGCAAGGCACTCTCTGTAAGGGGGTCATGGGTTCTGGCTTTACCTCCCTTCCCCTCCCCCGCACCTCTGCCACATTACCTAAGACATACTGCATTTTGGAAGGTGTTCAATAAAATTTTCATACCATGCTCATGGTTGTGTTCTTAACCCGAAGTAAAATACTAACTTTAAAACAAGTTAAGGACTTGCCGATTTAGGACACAGAAAAAGAATATGAAACTTCTGTATTAGTTACCTGTTGCTGTGTAACAAATTACTCCAAAAATTAGTGATTTAAAAAAAATAGCAAACATTTATTACCTAACAATTTCAGTGGTCAGAATTTGGGAGCAACCCAGCTGGCAGACCTCTCACTAGGTTGTCGTCACTATGTCAGCTGGGTGGCTGTCATCTGAAGGCTTGACTCGGGGTAGAGGAGCCAAGTTGAAGTTAGCTCATTCATATGGCTGGCAAGTTGGTGCTGGTGATTGCCAAGAGGTACACTAGCCTGCTAGGGCTGCCCAAACAAAGCCCCACAAACTGGTGGACTTAAATAACAGAAAGTTATTTCTTACAGTCCTGGAGCCTACATCCATGTAGGAGTCTTTGAGGTACTGCTTGGTGTGCCCTTGTCTGTAGTACATCTTTGAGGATACAATTCACCGCTACACTAATGCTTTTTTAAAATGGGGCCATCTATTGAGTATAGTATTTAAAGGCATGTGGTCCATCCCCTGGTGGCACAGCGGTTGAGCACCGCGCTGTGAAGCTGTCCGCAGCCTCTGCAGTGCCAGTTGATCCCAGCCAGACAGCAAGGGTCCCATATGGCGCGGCAGACCTCTCCTGTCACGCCCGCTGCCCCCCTCAGCAGTGTATTTCGTCAGTCTGCCTGTTCTGTTCCCCGCTTTGTCTCTGGGGAATCCTCTCACCCTCTTGTGCATCTGGCCTGTACCCCAGTTCTTGTATAAATAAATAAAATCTTTAAAAAAAATAATAAAGGTATGTGGCCCATAGTTATTTAACAGGTACTCACCTGCTGTGAGAACTTGGATAGGTGACCTTAACCTCAATGTGCCTCAGTTTCCTTATCTGCACACTGGAGCTAAATACCCACCCCCAAAGGGCTGTGGAGAGGATGACTAAAATGTATATGAAGCATTCAGAGCAGTGCCTGGCTGTAAGAGAGACTCAGTAATCGCTCACTCTCTTAAGAAAGCCAACAGTGGCATTCCCTTGCACACTTTTGCCATCTCCACTGCCACTCCAGATGTCCTACATCATTTTCAAACTTTGGCCACTGTCTCAGCTCCTTTTGCTGTGCATAGGGTCACAATCTCCCTGCAGGGATGTATCAGTTGCAGGACGACTCTCCATTGAATTCCACAGGTTAGATTAATTAAACACCAAGGAATTGTAACTTTTTAGGAAATGTTATATTTTTAAGATGTTACACCCAAAAGATGAGAAAATTAATCTGTATAATCTTCTGATTTCCAAATACAAACACCAAACCATATTGGAAAAACTATCTTAAAAAAACCAAACTCCAAAATCAACTCAATAGAAATCTTATGAGACAGACATACTGCCCACTACAATTGAGATTTTAAATAAGATCTATTATGTATTATACAAAACCCCATGAACTGTATTTAACTCAGCGTTGGAAGATGTCCTCTAAATGTGAGTAGAACAACCCCGAAGGAACTAGGCCATAGCTGAAGCTTCACGGCACCGTGTCCTGAATTGGGGACCCTCAGCTATCCCCAGGTAAGCACCCCTGACCCCAGCACCAGAAACCAGCTTCTCAGGAGTAGACAGAGGCCTGAGTTGCAAACTTGCAAGACCTAGATATTCACCATGGGCCCCGGGCCACAACAGAAAGTGCATCCCACTTAGCTTGACAGTGCCTCCCAGCAGACTGGGCCCCAGACTGGCCCTCTCAGTGCCTTGCCCATCATCAGGAGCCCTCAACTAACTCCAGGAATCTCTGGCAACCCCTTGCCTTCCCAGACACTGGAGGACGACCCCAAGCCACTGCTCCTGGGAGAGGTAAGTTCTCCACAACTCAGTCTCTGGACTCACAACTCACCCTCCTGCCCTCCCAGCCACCAGAACCAGGCCTGGGGAAGCATTGAGGGAGGCTCTAGCACCACCCCAGATCCTACAAGACCCCAGTAGCTATATCCAACATCAACTAAACACCCACAACAGCAGGGGAAAAGGAATCATAAACAACCAGGACACCAATACAGCAGAGCAAACTCAAAGCAAACAACAGTGAGAAAGAGAAACACAAATGGCCAAGGAAGCCCTCAGGGGAACTATGAACCACAGAGAGAAAACCAAACTCCAGAACCTAACACCGACCCAGAAGAATTCTCCTCCCTGTCAGATGAAGAATTCAAAATCGCCATAATTAAGAGTCAAAGAACTTGAACAACACAAACAAAACTCAGAAAAACAAATCAGAACTATATTAGAAGATGAAGAAAAGGAACAAAATGCTATGAGGAACAAAATCAGCAGAGGAACAAGACTGAAACTTTGAGTAAGAATACAGAGGAAATGCAGGATGTTAAAAGGTCAATGAGGAGCTAAAAATTCTGGAAAAAGACATGAAAATAGAACAGATGATATGGAAGAACAAATCAGTACTCTCGAAGACACGGATATGAAAAGAACCAAGAAAGAAAAGGAAAGACTCAAAGGACAAAGAAAGAAAGAAGAAACACTTGGAGAATCGAATGAGAGCAGAAAATAACACACATGAGAAAATTGTGCTTAAAACTTTTTATTGAACAGGCAATGCATTGCGCAATGGCTAAAGACACAGATGCCTTGTGGAAAAGTTTAAAAATTATTTTTGGGAACAGTCTCTGAATTGATGAACCCTGCTGTGTTCCTTCTGTGCCTTCTTAGAGTGGCTATCCTCAGGAAAACTGATTTTTTTATAGCTGCTCTTGGAAACGGCATCCCTGTTTTACCCTAAACATCATGCCTAACAGTAAACGTGAAAGGAGAAGACAGGCTCCAAAGCCAGATAATGACCAGAGATGAGTCGCTTTTGTGTGCAAGTGCAGATCCACGTTCCCCTGGAACAACTTCTCTCTGGGCTTTTGACAGTGTCCTGTTTATGCATCCAAGTTTCATTTTCTTCCTTGCCCAAGCCCTCTTCATCAAGGGAATTCTGAAAGACTCACATTCATACCTTTTAGCACAGGACCTTGTTCCTGGCTCTGTTCAATGGTGTTCTTATGTTCTGGGTCTCTGGCCCAGGGCTGTGGCTGGGAGTCTGTCTTCTTTATTTGCCTAGTTCCTTCCTCTTCTCCTAGCTTGCTCTCCCCTCGCTTGATGATTAAAGTCACTCTTAAATTTCACATTCATTTGCCTTATTTAGTGGCAGTTTTTAAGTAGGTAACCCATCAAGGTGGTGGACGTTCTTTATTAGTACACAGTCAACTTATTTTATAATTTGGGGCATGTCACTCCAAGCTTGAGATTTCTTTCTGGCAAGTTCCATCCAGGATGGCTGATCTGCACTGGCATAACTGGCTCTCTTCAGCTGATGCAATTCTTTCTCTGTCATCACAGCAGACTGAGCCGCTGGAAAGAAGAAAAAACAAACAGAAACATGAGAAATGAGTTTGGATTTTCACTTAAACCTCTTGCATATCTTTAAAATATACACCAAGGTCTTAACTGTAGTTTCAAACATAAAATCCACTAATGTGTAAACATGTAGAGATTTAGGCACAGGCTAATTTATGTGATTAAAAGACTTAAGAGCAGGCTCAGGCAGTTCCAGAAATGCAGTGAGATGAAAGAAACTTTCAGAATAAAACTGCAGGAACTGTGGAGAATGGTTGCACAAAGGGTGAATATGCTTAACACTACTGAGCTGTAGACTAAAAAAAGGTAAATTTTGTTATGAGTATTTTACCACAATTATAAATTAGAAAACACTGAAAAATCTTACAGAGATACAAAAGAAATCTCAAAGACATTCTACTGTTCAATAAAAGCAGCCAGACATGAAAGAAAACATATCCTATGACTTCATTTATAAGAACAGTCAAAGAAAAGCACATACATAGCGATAGGCAGTAGATTCGTAGTTGCCAGAACTGGGGTTAGGTATGATGAGTGAATTTAAATGGGCATGAGAAAGGGGAATGTTCTAAGATTGGATTGTCGCGGTTGTAGTCCTCTGTTCTCATAAACACATATACCATGAATTGCACACCTAGAACAGGTAAGTTCCATTGTCCATAAATGATCTTTCAATAGAAGCTGTTAAAATAAAATTAATGTGGGGCCTCCCTGGTGGTGCAGCAGGTTGAGAACAGCGCTGTGAAGCTGTCCGCAGCCTCTGCAGCTCGGGTTCAATTCCTGGCTGGCCAGGGAGAAACTCACATGGCACGGCAGACCTCTCCTGACGCACCCGTTGCTCCCCTCAGCAGTGTATTTCGGTTCTCTGCCTGTTCTGTTCCCCACTCTGTCTCTGGTGAATCCTCTCACCCTCCCGAGCCTATGGCCTGTACCCCAGTTCTTGTATAAAAATAAAAATAAATCTTTAAAAAAAATCAATGTGGCAGACAACTCAGAAAAACAAATAAAACCAGCAGGTCCAATTCTGGAGACCTATGCTAAGTGAGGGTTTCGTACCCAGGTTCTGATGAGACAAGGAGATCCCTCTTTGAAGACCCTCCTGGAGGCGAATCTTTGTCTCCTGCCTCGGGTCCCCAGTGGGCTTAGCAGGAGTCATCAGGAAAGACTTGCTTCGAACAAAATCAGCTTGTTTCATGGGCTCCTGTGGGGCACAAAAAAGACACATGTTGTCAGTCACATGAGATTTACACAGGAGCCAACGCAGTCAGACACAGTGGTGGGTCATGCAGCTTCTTCCCCACCAAGATGAACTGAGCGCTAGCACTTTCTTGGCAAAGCTGTGATTTGCACACTTGCTGATGTTGAGCATTCTGAAGACTGGAACTCAAACCAGGGCCTGACTTTCCCCCAGGTCCCCAAATGGTGGATGGTAGGGATTTCATTCAAAAGTCAAAATGAATTCTATTTGAAAATAATTTTGTGATTTTTTGAAACACAGGGTACTATCATGGATGCCCTGAGTGGGTATCATCCACTAATATTTGTTTTATAAATTCCCCTAGCCTGTATGAGGGTCCAGCTGAAGGTCTGGTTAAAACAAAGGGAAACAGATCCTACCACAGGCTCTGGGTCCTTTCTCCACACAGCTTAAACATGTGGGGGGATCTACTATGCAGGCTATTAAGGGAATACAAGAGTGGTGAGTCTCAGCCTGCTTCTAAGCACAGTTGTCAGCATTTGAAAAAGTGTTTTTCAGTCCAGGGTGCAAAATGGAAATTTCGGTTGCAACCTTGCGGCCTTACATGAGGAAAAAGGAGCCTGGCAGTAGCCCAGTATAGCAGCAAAGGCAGGGCTCATCCATCAGCATGCAATGAGCCAAGACGGAACTGTTGACATCGTCACTGTGCATATCACTGAAAGGTTATTCTAACCCTATTCCATTTCTCCAGGTGCTGTATTGTGCAGGAGGTAGGGAACAAAGAGTTGTCTCCACTGCCTAAGTGATTCACCCACTTCTTTGCCTCCCTAAAGGCCCAGTGCATGCAAAGGGCAGATATCAGTGATCACAGGTGATGGTTTCTACAATGACCATGCAGGATGTGTGGCCATCTCTGGGTTCCAGCCCCAAGTCCCAGCTGGCTGCACTCTCCTGTCCCTAAAGACAGAAAGTATTTGCTCTAAGCACCTGGGCTCTCTCGGGCACCTTGGCTTGCTTCCCTATTTCAGACCTCAGAGGCCTCACCCCCGGCTTTTCTTCCTGGTCGGGTGGTTGGTCTTGGGCTCCTCGCCGCTTCTGCCGAGTGACAGTGATCCAAGGTGGCGCAGGCTGGCTGTCAGCTCCAGGGCCTGCAGCTGCAGGAGGCAGGCCCTTCTCTGTGAGTAAAGACACAGGTTATGCAAAACAGCCCTAGTCCTACTCCCTCTTTAGCATCACCTTTGGCTTCTCCCATACAGAGAACATTGTGCAGGGGCTCAGAGGACAGGAGTGGGTGTGCAGAAGGAAAGGGGATCTGGAAGTCTTTCTGGTGAGATTGTTACTTTTCTATAGAGGACTTTGTTTTCTCATTTAAAATACATTAAAGAGATTATGTAGGCTGAGCCACAAAAAATTAAATGCCCATTTTAAAGCCACCTCCTCCTATGAGAGACTCTCTGGAATGAGATAAAAGTGAGTGCACAAACAAGCTCAGATTTCTTTATTACAAGTCTGTCAATTTGCTCTTCCATACATCACCTGATTTCCTGGAAGTTGCAGACACTATTATTTCTTCTTTCTTTTAAATGTTGTAAGCATAACCTTCCCTTTGTGGAGACACCAAAACTAGCTTTTAAAATCCTAACATTTTTTCTGAATTTTCTTCCATGTTCACAGTGCTTCTCTTTGGGTAGGAAAATTGTGTCTCATCTCCCCTTTAACACTTGAACTCTTTTGTATTACCATGTTTTCTATGATGAGAATTTATTACCTTCATCATCAGCCACAAAAGAAATTGAGCATGTTTTTTATTCAAGGAAACCTTTATGGATGCAATTTATGAATTCTTATGGGTACAACATACACTGAATGCACTCCCCATGAGCCTGCCTGTATGAATGCTTGCCTGCCACCACATGAAACAAAGAGAACTCTCCATGTGGCACCGGCCCTGTCCTGTGTCCCTTCTGTGCAGTGCTCTGGGGTCAGACAGGTGAAGTGCTGCCTTTCCCACATGCAACACATGCAGATGTCTTTGTGAGTCCAGGTCGTCTGTGGCTTCACACACGCTACATCTCCCTCCTCAGTGTATAGGATATTATTCTATTTGTTTTTGCCTCTGTGTCCAGTTTCACCTGGAGTCCTTTTCTGTCTGGTGACTAAGGAGTGGTGAGGAACCTTCAGTTTCCCGCCAGGGTTGAGAAGGGCATTTGGCTTCACACACAGAACTAACCTTGGTCTGGGCCTCTGGGAATGGCTCCTGCTTTCTTCTGGCTGTTCCCTGAGGCCTCTGCACTCCTGGTTGCCTGAGAACCCCACATCAGTCCTTGTCTCTTCCTATCTCTTCACAAGTTCTCCCTGGTCAATGACTTCTGTTCTGCTGCTTTGCAAAATGCCTGGATCTGCCATAGCGCCAAGAACAGTAAGCCTTCACTGAGCCTTGCCATCCCCCTGAAGCTCCAGTTCTTCATTCTCTGCTACCCTTAGCTCAAATGGCCTTTGCCTGGGTCTCCAGCTAATTCCTGACCCAGCCACAACATGAACACTGGTCTCTCTACTTATCCAACAACTGAACCAAAAATCCTAAGGTCTTTGCCCATTTTCAACCTGCTTTACCCCCTGCAGCTCTGATTATACCCTCCTCTCCCCACATAAGTGCTCTTGGGCAGCCCATCCTGAGAATTTCCTTTCCAGGCCCTCACTGGACTCTTGCTCCCAAACCTAGGAATTCCTCCTTGCTCCCTACCCTCAATCTTCCTCTCTTTCTCCTGAAATGTTCTCTTTCATTCCCAATTTCAACATTCAGAATTCACTCAGATTAATTTCAAATGTACAATCCAGCCCAATTTTCTGTTCTTAGAGCCAACACCCCTGCTCCACACAATGGCACACACCATCCATTGTTTGCTATGCAGAGCACTGAGGTAGTGGGAAAGTTGACAAAGAAACACCAAATTGTTACTTCATAAAGCTCAAAGTCCAGTTGGGGAAACAACTGGACTAGTACAAGCAACTGGTAGAAACTGGAAAATGCTAGTTTTAAAGAGCACTGGGCCTAACGCTGGTGATAGGATTTGAGGGTGCTGTCTGGGGTTGGGACCTGAAGGAGGACATTTCGGGATGAGCTGAGATGCAAGCAAAGCCCACCCTGGTGGAGGAGGCAGAAAACAGCTGCATGCAGGCCAGCCCAAAGGGGCTGAAGAGCAGGCAGGTCTTCTTGGACCTTTTTCTGTCTATAATAAGGAGCCTTGGGGTTTAACCCTGGGCACACCATCTGGAGGCCAGCCATCTGGAGGGTGTTTGACCGCAAGGGTGGGGGTCAGAGAAGTGACAGGGGAGGCTGTGGCCGCAGTCCAAGTGAGGTGACTGCACACCTGTTTCAGAATCATTCTGGCTCCTCCACAAAGCCTGTTCAGGTCACCCTACCAGGACATTTGCTCCCTTTCCTAGTTATTTTGTGACTCTTCTGGGACATTTACCCCACCGCATGCTATTAGACATAATGTTAGCTAACCATTTACCCCACTGATAAATGCTTTTGGTCATAAGAACTTGTTTAACAAACACATGCCATGGACTACATACCAGGTACGGTTCTAATATTAGATCATTTTCCATGTAAGTTTATGTTTTATTTCTTGTCCAGACAATCCAGTGATGGCCTAGCATGTGAAATGCGGCCTGGGTAGTTGCAAGTTTTACATAAAGTTTGCATTCTTACCCCTCATTCTCAGCTCCATGTTCCATTGAGTCCTCAGAGTCTGCCTAACCAGAATCCGTGTCCTTTCCTCATATTCTGTACTCTCTTCTTTCCACTTTTTTCTTGCTAAGAATGCAAGTGTGTCAGAGGGACTTTGATGCCCCCCACACCCTTTCAAAGGAACTATCAGGGCCAGCCCTAGGGTAGAGGGCATGGGAGTGGAGGACGTGGTTCCAGATACCAGAAAGGAGGGAAAGCCCCACAGAAAGACCTGAGATTCCACCGGAGCCTCATAAACCTACAGGTTAGTCCCTGTGCCAGGTGAGCACAGGCAGAGCAGCAGAGTGAGAGCCAATCTGCTCTGTTGCAGAAGGCCTAGGTGGCCATTCTGATTTATAGCCTGAACCCCTGTACTTGGTGCCTACAGTGGGGACAAGGGGACAAGGGTTATGCTGTACTTCACATAAGGAGGGCAAGGGGAAGGAGTAAAGACACAGGTAATTTGCCCAATAAAGTGGGCTTCAGAGGCCAAAGAGAGCTCTCCAGCAGGAACACATAGGGTCAAAGTTCCACCACAAAAACAGCTTCTGAGATTAAACTGTTCAACTTGTCACCAATCCCAGGATAATGTAGATGTGTCAGATTAAATAAAAGGAGCTGAAAACTGGTCTTTGTTTTCCTTTCTCTGCTTCAATACACAGATAACCTTAATTCCCTGAAGATTTGGCTATAAGGCTCTGCCATTCTCAATCCCCCCTCCCAAAAGGACAAAAGATTTAAAAGTGCCTGAGTTTGCAATGAGAAGGCCAGGACCATTTCTCACACATAGCAAACCAGCAAGTCATGTCTGCATCTGCAATGATCCCTTTTGCAAAGGGTCTCGGGAGAGTGCATCTCCCAAACACAACGGCCCTGGAAGGAAAGGCATCAAATCTGATGTGTTGCACAATATAGAAGAGAGAACACCCAGAAAGCAGAACACTGAGCCTCGAGGTGCTGTAACAGCTGCAAAGCTTGCTCTGTTATGTAATTTAATTTCACCTGAAGACTCCTTTTGATAAAAGATTTTTTGTTGTTGTTGTAAAGACCTCTTCAAAAGAGGAGGCTACAAGTTTGCTTTCCTCTAGTTCCCATCCTTCTTAACCTGTTCCCCCCCACCCCCATTGGAAGGATTTAGTTTGAAAACTATCTGTTGTTAAGCATTCATTTCCGAGAGCTCTTATTCTTTGGGTTGGTTCAATGGGCTGCTGTAATTAGGATGTTTCCTCCCTGCGGCAAGCAACAGTGCTGGCTAATGATGTGGCCCTAGGGCCTCTGGGTCAGAGATTCAGTTCTTAGGCTGGGAACGGGCTCTCAGGCCATTCTAGAAACTCTTTGTAACTCAATTTCAGTGTATAATGAGGGAAATAGCAATAGCTACACCTCCTAATGTGACTATGAAGATTAAAGAAAATGATCTACCAACTACTCTTCCTCAGTGACTGCAGATTCAGTGAGATTGTCCATGCAAAGCACTTAGCCTCATTTGTACCTGTATGCTAAAGAGTGTGAGCGGCTCCCCTACTGTTGCTTTCGTCATTTTGTTTTTGTTGTTTTTGTTCCCAATTGAGGAGTAACTTGGATTAATCTCCTGAATAAGGCATGTAAGTTTTTAGAATCTGGCAAAAGCCAACAATTCTGCCTGCCTAGGGTTGCACAGAACTCTAACTACAATGGGGAAGGAAACCGCAGTTTCTGGACCCATGTTTGGCATTTTTAACCAAGCTATTTGTATTCAGAAGATCTAAAGTTAACCATTCTGAAAACCCTCAATGTTAAGTAAACTATTCCCGGTTTCTAGAGATGTTCCACTACCCGGTGAGCTCTGTGAGAATGCTGCCTCTGTTCACTTTGTTTTGACTTACTGATGGATGATGAATTTCTTTTTTCCTTTCCTTACTGCCTCCCTCCCCCAGGAGGGGAGCGTATTAAAACTCAGACTTAAGATACCCTTTCTTTCACTCAAAAAGACTTCCTAATGAATCACTGAGAGTGCAAGGGCGGGGCTCCAACAGTGGTCTACATCTCCAAGGACTGGTCGGCAGACACAGCTGTGGCCTGGAAGCTGGGAGATGTGGAGAACACTGTCTTCTTAGTGAGAGGCAATGAGCCAAACAATGTGAAACTATCATGGTTTCTTGCACTTTGGCTAAGAAAGCTGATACTCTAACCTGAGCTAACACATGGCCGGATGGCAGGATTCTTACTTTAAAAAAAAAAAATGGTAGATGCTGCCATTTTAAAAAATAGCAACTGTTAAGAATTGCTTCCTTTCATAAAATGTCTCCCTTGTTCATAGAAGTGCACATACAAGTTGTGCAAATTCAGAAATCAGAGAAAAGAAAGAGAAAGGGAGAGGAGAGCTTTACAACAGAGTGATCACCCTGTCTCTGTGGTCCCTCTGGCTCCCCTGCCACCCCTCTGGCTTAAAGGCAAGGA